CGCCGAGCGCAGGCCCAGCTCGCGCCACGTGTGGGATGCTCCAGGCCTGACCGCTGGCGTGCCATCTCCCCCCTGCTCCTGCCCCAACCCCCCGCGCTGGCGGAGGAGCCAGACGCCCCGGCCTCGTCACGGGAGCCGCTTTAACCAGGTCACTGCCCACTGCCGCTCTCCATTACCCTGCCGGGCACGGCAATTATTTTGTGTGCGGGAAACAGGATTACTGCGCCGGTGCTGGCCGTGCCGCCGGCGAGTTGCAGTGTGCCCGGCCTGGAATGGCTTTTTATAATCAGCCGCGGGGGGACCCTCGCTGTGGGACTGTCCACAGTCGGGGATGAGGATGGGGATGGAGATGGGGTCCGGGGATGGGGATGGGGAGCGGCACTGGGGACCACGACTCACTGGCAGGCGGATGCATGAGATGGCGCGTCTTGGGGCTCTCTGGCAGCTTTCCTAACAGGTCTCTGTCTTGCAGGAACCTCGGGAAGTCTGGGCTGCGCGTGTCCTGCCTGGGCCTGGGTAAGTGCCAGGGTTTGCCACGGCCCCTCGGCGGCTCCTCCATCCCACGGCTGCTGCCGGTGCTCCCCGGCAAGGGCGGCGCTCGCCTGCTCCAGCAATGCTTTGTGAAGGGAAGGAAAGGGTTTTCCTCCGGCCCGGCGGTGGTTTTGAGATGCAGCCCAGAAGTTGTCAAATCATTTTCTTTTTTTCTCCTCCGACGTGATAGGAAGCGACCGGGCTGTGCTGGGAGCGCCGTGCCATGCACGGTGGGGCCAACTGCAGCCGCCATGTGCCGGGGCTGTGCTGGGAGAGCTGGGGTGGGTGGCCGGGGGCTTGGGGCGGCAGCGTTCAGTGCTCGCCTTGCTCACCGTGCATGCGTCCTCTCTCCTCCGCAGGGACATGGGTGACTTTCGGAGGGCAAATCACAGATGAGGTAAGGATCGCGTCCCATCCCTCCCTGGCCTTTCCCGAGTGAAGCGGGGAACGGCTGGGGACGGCACAGCCACGGGTGCTGGTCTCAGCGCCTGTGGTGTGCCGGAGCTCACCAGCACTCGTGAGCGTGCGCCTCTGCGCTCCGGCTCTCAGCCACCCCCTTCGCCAACCCTCCCCGCTCTCCTCTCGCAGATGGCAGAGCAGCTGATGACTTTAGCCTACGACAACGGCATTAATCTCTTCGACACGGCAGAAGTCTATGCTGCTAGAAAGTAGGTACCCCATTTCGGCAGCAGTACAAGGGGCCTCATCCTGCGTCCTGGCCTCCAGCACCTCCGAGCTGCGGCGGCGCTGCGAGCCTCCCGGCTTTGCTGGCTGCAAAGCGGATGCCAGGACAGGGCAGCAAGTGCTTGCTTGTGGGGAGGTGATGGCTCGTGCGGTCCTGTGCTGCCTGTGGCTGCGTGCACCACGCGGGCGTAGCCGTGCACCCTCCCCAGCATGGCAAGCAGTGGCTGTGCCCGGGGCCCGGGG